AGGGCAGCGTGAGCCAGTGCTCTCCCAGGCATCTGGGACTAGGGACGCACGCACAGCACAGGACAACGCGAGCCGGTGCTCTCCCAGGCATCTGGGACTAGGGACGCGCACAGCACAGGGCAGCGTGAGCCGGTGCTCTCCCAGGCATCTGGGTTTAGGGACGTGTGCACAGCACAAAGTGGCATTCTGCACTTGCTCTACGCAGAAACAGGCACTTCCTCCTCTTCTCTAGGGGGTTACCCAAACCCCTGTGCCAAGCACTCAGATTTCTGTTTCTTACCAAGTGGCCGCTTCTCCATCCTCTCCATGTTCACATCTGGCTAGAGTCCAGATTTTCAGTTCACATTCAAACGCCTCAAAAGATGATCTCACTGTCTCTCCTGCCTCACCACTCATCCCTGTACCAAACCACTCCAACCAGCCTCCACTCCTCCAATCTCCTGGAATTGTTCTCAACAAGGTGAGCAGTGACCAAGGCTCAGGCCCAATGCGTACTGACCAGTCTTTTCTGGCGTACTGCCCTGCTGCATGTGGTCGCCCCCACATGCCAGCACTCTCTGCTCTACCATTCCCCTGACACCCCCCCCCACCCCGCCCACCCCTGTCTTCCTCCTCCACACTCTGATCTCTGTGTTCACTGTCTTTCTGCTGGTCCTTAAACAAGGGTGTTATTCCCCTTGGCTTACTGTCCTTATCACACTACACGTACATCTCTCAACTGAACCTCATTCTCATCTATTTACAAAGACATGTCTTATGCTTCCCAAATCTTCAATGCCAAACTCTCTTCCAAGCTTCACGCTTGCACATCCAGCTGTCTGGAAACAGATCCCATACACAGTCCTCACAAAGCTGACTTCATCACCTCCTCCCCTTGTCTGTTAACCTACCCCAGAGACCCAAACTAGAGAAACAGTAACCACACTAGGGCCTCCTCCTCATCTCATGCTGTAATCACGATGAGGGCCTAGCAATTTCACTTCCTGAACGTGACCTGCCATCTCTCTCTTCACCTCCACCTCCAGTTCTGCCGTCCCAGTTAATTCGTTACAGCTCCCCGTGTACCTGGGCAAGGCTCCTCACTGGCCTTTTTAGGGCCACCCATCTGCGGCTCCCAAACACCCCAGGGAACTTCTTTGCTCTCTCTTCAGAAACAGTCCCCACTCTTTCCCTTGTTCTTACCTCTGACTCATTAAATCCTGCCCACCTTTACAGATCTAGTCCAGGAGTCATTTCCTCCTTGGAGTCTCTGAGACACCTTCCAGGCCCAGACAGGGGCATCCCTCATCCCTACATCCACTGTGCCCTGTGTGTCTCCTGTGCAGTTCTTGCTGCTGCACTTACTTTCTCAGGACTCTGAGCTCTTTGAAGGCCTCCTTGCCGTACCTTCTCTGTACCCCTCCTCACAAATCTGGCACATCACAGGAATTCAAATTTCTACTGACTAAATGAGTTTGCTAATTAAGTATCTGAACATGATTCTCTACCAACTGAGGCTGCTCAATGAATGCACGAGCGGAAGTGTCTGTATAAGGAAATATGCTGATTCCATTCGAGAACACAATGCTTATTTGCAAGGACACAATTATTGACTTACTGTGTAACAGGCCAAGATTCTTACTCAACATACGTCCTTTGTAGGCAAAAGCAAACCACAATAAGCCTACCCTGACCTGAGAGTTTGCTGTTAGGAACAGATAACCTGAGAACTGTGTTTTGCCAACAATCCGTTTCCACCCTGAAGGAATGGAGTTCACAAGGCCTTTGCTTTGTGAGCCCTGCTGCCTATGTGCTGTGTGATTACAAACATTCCACAGTGGGTTATTTAGAAAGATACTGAAACTGCGGAACTCTGTGCTGACACACTGATTACAGCAACAACCACAGATTGGACCTACTTCGTATGAACACTTTAACCACCAGCTTAGGGACCATCCCTGAGTTACAGCAGAGGGAGCCCTGAACTGGAAGCCTCAGCTCTCTCACCACCTGGCCAAGGGGTTGAAAGCAGGTGATGCCACTTGGGTGGGCTGTGGCAATCTCATCTGTGCAATGAAGAACTGGATTTGGTTCGGTTCAGTCACCAACAGCTAACAACTACTGAACCAGGTGCAAATGTGGAAGTCCTATCCTCAAGAAATTAAAGTATAATGGAAATAAAGACAGATGACATCAAACTATCATCTACTGATGTGCTCTGAAGGCCCTTCACAGGTAAAGCTGCTATGACACGCCGCAGCAAGGACAGGTGAATATTCCTTAGGAATGTAAAGTGACATCACCAGTTCATCTAACAGATGCCATCCTGGGTCAGACACTCAACCAACAATGCTCCATTCATTGCACTAACACTGAGCGAAGGGAAGAAGACAGGTGATTATTTCCCAAACTGAAAACTGAAAAGTTTGCTCTTGAAAATAACCAGGCCTAAATGACAGACGTGTTCATTCTTAGCAGTTAGGATGTGCTCTGAACAAGTGTTACGTGTGGGTCATTTTTTCAGCGAAAAAAAGCCTCGACAAGTCAACAATAAACATTAAACAATTCTGTTCCAAGCAAGAACTCGCCAATTCCTGGTGCAAGAGCATCAAGAAGAAATGAGATCTCATCTCGGGGAGAGTAAACGGCTGAAACGGAACCTGCTGGGGCCACGCCAGTTCACCCTGTTCTTCCTAAATACACCTACTTCTGTCAGGCTCATTCAAGCTAAAAGTAAACCAAACATGCCATGTTCCCATTTCACAATTTACATATAATTTACCTGTTTTATTTCTCTGCCTCAAAGAATTACACATATGATCAAATCCAAAATGGGCAAAACCACCAGTGGAGGGTTTGAAGGGTGAGGAGCCAGGATGACACAACCTGAGATGCGCTCTTGCCGAGTCAGAGCACCTACTGTGCGGAGCGGTGTCAGCACCAGAGTGAAAGTTTAACCCAAGATGCTTTTTATAGACATTGTTTCCTCAGCGAGGCTTTCTTTTGCCCGCTACTCTAAGGAGAAGTGAGGGTAACAAATCCAGGTAGAACTGAGGAATGATCTGGCATGGTAGCAGCACTGTGTTGGTGCAGGGGACTCTGGGATGCAGGGTTTGCATATTCTGTTGATTTGGTACCTGGGCATTTACATCCAGCATCAACAAGCACACCTATGATCTTTCCCGGACCAACAAGCACACCTATGATCTTTTCCGGACCAACAAGCACACCTATGATCTTTCCTGGTGTTTCTGGAGGTCGGGGAGAGAGAAGACACTACTTTAAAAGTGTGTTCATTGCAACATTCTTATTTCGCAGAATATACTTTAAAAGTGTTTCTCAGGCCTGTTTGCCTTGTACTTTACTTTTCTAATTGTAACGTAAGTTTTGTAAAGTAAATTACACCTCTTCTCAGCACATTTCCGTGAAGAGGTCCATAAAAACACTGTGCTGTAGCCTTGGGACTTGTGAAAAGCCTGGAAACAAAGACCGACTTCCAAATTACTAATCACACAGAAAAAACGGCTGATTTCAGCTAACTGCGGTTACATGGGGAGACAGAACATTTTCACAGGCTGCAGGAGTAAAATCTGAGGATCTGAGGTTACCTTTTCAGCAACAGAGAAAGTCACCTGGCGACTCTCCTTCCCTAAGGAACTCTGGAATTTAGGGGACATCCTGGGAGCCCACGTCAGCGTGACAGAGGGTGGCCGCAGGTCTAAGGCCCACATCACCACTTCAATATGACTGAAAGGTATGGCCTTTGGCTTGTCCAACCCAACGAATAAAAGTCGTAAATAAAAGCAGCCTATATTTTGGAAATAGGCTTTAAGGTGCTCTGGAATAAAAGACAAAGAAAGCTGAGCTCTTCCGGCTGAGGCCATGGAGTCCAGGGTCCCAGGGCATCTGATGGGAACCAGGAAACTGGAAAAACCAGTTCTTAAAGTTCCTAAAGCCTGACAGTAAATATTTAACAGTAAACAGCTCACCGTTTTTGTGTTTATATGCTAAGGAAGGTTCATTTACTAGGGTTTATGGGCAGTTATGTAAAATGATACTTGTATGAACAAAACTGCTATTTTAAGTTTCAGACATTGCTTCATCAGGGCCCTTGTCCTACAAGCTGGTGGAAATCTAAACAGAGGGAAAACATTATGAACACATTGTTATTTATTAGTAAAGAAAACAGCAAAAATAAACTGGTTTTCTTTGGTCCAAAAGGCCTAGTTTGATTTTATAACTAAGATTCTTTCTCTTCGCTGGAAGCCTTCCGATTGTAGTGGGCAGTCTTACAGAATAACTCATAACGATGTCTTTTCCCGAAACCTCGACAGTACGGCATTCTGGTGGCACAACGCACAGCGAGAGCCCGTCCAGCTTCTACTCATGTCCGGCGACTCCTCAGCCTCCCTGAGCAGGGGCAGGAGGAGCCCAAACCTCCCATGTTGTTAGAGATGCTCCATGAGGGCAGAACCCACCAACCCAGCAGCACCGCAGTTCACAACTGCATTCATCTGAGATTCCCATGTTGTATCCGACAGCTGCCTAAAGCCCACACAGTATTCACCTAAGGAAACAGCACGGCTCTGAGTTACAACTGTCAGTTCATAAAATTAAGACTATCTTCTCTTCTAAGAACGCGCTCACATTCAAAGAATCACAGAGGGGAAGAGACCAGAAGCACAGCCAGGCAAGGCTGAACTGAAATCCCACCGTCCCGCCCCTGTAGATACTACCATCATCTTGGGAGTATTTTACATTCGTCAAACCACTTTCACTACATGTCTCTGAAATACTAATCTCAGTGACTCCTAATAAAGATTTAATCACTCTTTTAACATTAATATAATTAAAATAACGTATATAAGCAGTACCTGAATTGAGGCTTTCTTAGCTTTTAAGACTAAATCGAGTATAAAAAATCATTCTTTAAAAAAGTTTAATTAAAACTGAGAGTAAACAAATTACTCAGACCGCATGAACCACGCTCTTATCAAATGGCTGAAACAAGACACTGTATGTCTCGATAGAAAATAAGCCCTCATAATTCCTAATAAAAAATTTATTTTACTCATATTAGTAGGATAAACTCCTTAAAAATAACTGAATAAATCTGAGAGTCAACTACCTACCTTCACGCTTATTTTTTCTATTTTTCAATTTCCTGACTCACTTAACACAAGGAAAACATTAAGAAAAGATGAATTTCTTGAAAAACGTGCGTGAAGGCCCTGACCCGCCTCAGTTATTTGGTTTCCATCTCTTCTCTGCTCCAAGCCTGAGGGTGGCAGCTGGCGCCAGGCGCTGCTCTCGCGAGCTGCAGCTGCAGCCTCCTGGCCAATCATCTCTCCCTTCCTGTCCCAGAACGAATGGCGGACACTCTTCAAGGCCTGACTCCTGAAGACTCACGAGCTAGGCACACAGAGGGGGCTCTGACCACCAGGCCTCATTTGACAAGTGCTGATTGTGAGGTGCTTTTTGCTTTCTTCTTTTTCAATTAATCTTTCTGGAGAATTTCCTTTTTTCCCTTTTGCATCTTAAGGTGGAGGTTTTTATTCCAAATGTTTTTTACACACAATTCTTGAAACTCTTGAATTCAATGATAGCTTCTTATCATGGCAAAAGGTACATATCAAAAAAACAGAAAAGTTTTAGTTACTAACATCTGAGGGGATGTCATTCCACATATTTAAGGAAATTGCTAAGCAGGTCCACACAAACACTTGTAAAGAAATGTTCATAGCAGTGTTATTCACGGGGCCAAAAAGTGAAACTACCAACTGTTTCTCAGTTGATGATGGACAAACAAAACATCGTCCATCCACACAACCCTCAGCCATTGAGAACCTGGGAAACACAGTGCTCAGTGAATGACGCCAGACACGAAAGGCCACAAACTGTGCGATGCCATGTTTATGAAATGTCCGGGACAAAGAAATATACAGAGGCGGAAAATGGATGCGTGGTAAACAGGGGCTGAGGAATGTGGGGCTGGGGCTGGGGGGAGGGAGACTGCATAAGAGGTAGAGGTTTCTTTCTGAGGTGACAAAAAAGTTCTAAAATTGATTGTGGCTGAACAACAACTCTGTGAATGCACTAAAAGCCATTAAATTGTACATCTTAAATGGGTGAATTGTATAGTTTATGTGACTTTGTCTAAATAACGTCTGTCTATCCATCCACCCATACTGAGATACGTATACACTATTTCTTGCTTGATGTGGTGGCTCAGTGTTCACTCCCACCTGCACACAGGACTAAGTGCTACACACTCTACTGCAGCAACTCCATCTGTGAGAGATGCACAACCATCCTGAGACCTCAGCATGATGATGAATATGAATAGCTGTATTTATAAATGTAAAGCTGCAGGAAGAAACCAAGTTTACCAGAATGTTAACGAAAACAAGTCCTTAAAGGTGTCAGAGGCGAATCTTCCTGAGAAATGCAGTGAGGTACTATCTGAACTGCTGACTGCAGTTCCTCTGTTCTTCTCCTTTACCGCCTTGCCCCACCCTCTTTACGCATTTAGGACATCCCACAATGACGGGTACAGGATCTGACAGCTAACTGGAGAGGGTAATATTACCGAGTTCTGGCTTCTGAGTTTAGGTTTAACCCCCAGGAGAACTTCAAAGAACTCAGATCTGCCAGAGCAGGACTGGACGGCGCTCCTGGAACCAGGGAAGAAGGAGAGGAAGCCAGGGGCACAGAGAAACTGGGAGCCCTACAGAAACGGGGTCCTCTGCCTTGCCCCCCCAGAGGGAGGGTGATGGACCCTCAGGTGGCTGGTGCATCTTAGAGCAGACCATCACTTTCCCTGCCCTCCACATAGAGCTCGGGGAAGTAGCTGCATCTCAGAAAAGAAAGGTCTGCATGGAGTGTCTGGGCAGCAAGGGCCCCCTAAGGTGCCACTGGCCTAGTGCATGTGGCAGCAGGAGGACACAGGGCCTGAGGGCCGCCCGCTGGGGAAGTCTGTGAGGTGCAGAGAGCAGGGTCAGGAGGACACAGGGCCTGAGAGCCACTCGCTGCGGAAGTCTGTGAGGTGCAGAGAGCAGGGTCAGGAGGACACAGGGCCTGAGGGCCACTCGCTGCGGAAGTCTGTGAGGTGCAGAGAGCAGGGTCAGGAGGACACAGGGCCTGAGGGCCGCCCGCTGGGGAAGTCTGTGAGGTGCAGAGAGCAGGGTCAGGAGGACACAGGGCCTGAGGGCCACTCGCTGCGGAAGTCTGTGAGGTGCAGAGAGCAGGGTCAGGAGGACACAGGGCCTGAGGGCCGCCCGCTGGGGAAGTCTGTGAGGTGCAGAGAGCAGGGTCAGGACAGCTCAAGGGCAGCTGAGGGTCTCCCGGTCTCACCTCTGCAATGCCTCTGTGATAAATCTCTGCCAACTCACAGAACGGGTTTAAAAGAGAAATTACATTGCTATATTCAAAAAAGGTACATTTTTGGTAAAATTGAAATTACATCCTAAGATTTGTTTCCGCTGTAGAAAAATAAGTTACATGTGAAAGATTCTTATTCATGCAGACAAAACACATCTACCAGCATTAAAGCATAAACTCTAAGTATAAGATTTACAGATACATTCAGCAAACTGACCATTACTGAGCACCTACGAGGTGCAAAGGTTCCATGGAAATTAGAAAAGACTCAGTTTCCACCCCCAAGTAACCGAGCTCTCCTGATTCCAAGAACACAGACATACTTCTCTTAAGATTCTCCAGGACAAGAGAATCTCCTATCTAGGAATCAGGTAGGGGAGCAGGAAAAAAAAAAACTACCCTAAGTTTGCTGAGGCAAAGGTCACCCAAGGAGTGCCACAGGCTACATCCAGTGGTGGGTTCAGCCCCAGGGCCCGCTCCAGCACTGCTGGCGGTAACGCCTGGATCCTTTATCACGAGAGACCCTGCCAGCTGACCTCTTCACTCTCTCCAAACTGGACTCGGAATTCCTCACAGAGATCACATTTTCTCAGACACGGACCAGGCTCTGCAGCAGGAGACACCTACTACAATTATGAGGATGATGGGCAAAGCCAGTGAAAGTGAGGCCCTGCTGCCAAGTCCAGGAGGCAGACACGCTGCACAGCTGGTTCCAGGCATCTGAGTTCTCAAAGTCAATTCCTAGGTTCAAATGCAGCCACAAACCTCTCTTCTTTCTTGCCTGTGAAAATTCTGGATAAATATTGGAAAGTCCATGTGAACAAGAGAGAATAAAAGTGAGAAAAAAATATGAATACTAATTTATTTTGCTTTGTTCACTTCCATCTTATCTCATTTAAGCTGTTGCGGGACTCTATCAGTCATCTTCTGTGTTTACATTTCACTTTGAAAAGTCCAGTAAAACTTTCAAGATTCCTATTTCTACTGCTATGGGCAAATATGTCCCTTCAAAATTTCTTTTTTTTCTTTTTTTTATGTTAAGCAATTCTTTTTTTTTTTTTAATACTTTAAGTTCTAGGGTACATGTGCACAACTTGCAGGTTTGTTACATATGTATACATGTGCCATGTTGGTGTGCTGCACCCATCAACTCGTCATTTACATCAGGTATATCTCCTAATGCTATCCCTCCCCGCTCCCCACAATAGGCCCCGGTGTGTGATGTTCCCCTTCCCGAGTCCAAGTGATCTCACTGTTATGCTGAAGGCTAAATCCCCAATGGGAAGGTATCTGGAGGTGAGGCCTCTGAGAGCTGACTGGGTCATGGCGGGGGAGGCGGTCCTATGGAAGAGGGTGAGTGCCCTCAGGAGACTGCTGTCTGCTCTCCGCCCTGCGAGGACACAGTGAGAAACCGGCTGTCGGAAAGCCAGGAGGGAGCACCCCCAGACAGCAGAGCTGCTGGCACGTCGATCTGGGACATCAAGTTTCCAAAACAGTGAGAAGGGAATGTTTGTGATTTTAGGCCACCCAGTCTGTGGTGTTTTGTTATGGCAGCCCAAACTGACTAGCACATCTACTATTCATTCATTCACCAAATTTTTATTGAATGCCTAATAGTAAAGCAATTTTCCTTCTTTAAAAATTGTATTTCTTCTGTGGACTTGTGTAGGGAAGTAAAAGCAGTTTAATAAATATCTCCTTGAAAACATATTACACAGTCCTGTATTTTCATGGTTGTCTTAGGGATTTAATCAGTAAAGCGCCATTTTAGCAGCTTGATCTCATTATGTCTCCAAAGCATTTTGATTCTGCCTACAGGAAAACATTTGATTCGTAAAGTGAGAATTCACCAAGAGCAGCACTGAGTAAAGATCTTTTATGAGAAGGTTTCTCAATCTGCTTTTGACACAAGGCATACCTGCTTATCACTTTAGAGATATCTCACTGTCTAGTGAGAAGACAGGAAGTAAAGGCAGTGCCTGGTAGAACTCGGAACCCTGGCCTTTTGATCAGCTCGGACATGTGCTAGTACCTTGACCTGGAGCAAACCGTTCCCCTAATCTGAGCCTAAAATTCTGGTCTGTAAGGCAAAAGTGCTTGACTAGATTGTCTCTAAGGTACCACTGTGCTCTGAACCAACAGGCAACATGACACTTCACAATTAAATCACACAACATATACGCATATTGAAACACTGCACTGTACCCCATAAATATGCACAATTATTATGTGCCAACTGAAAGCATTACTTAATCTTAAAAAAGCACTTGATGCTTGTAAGGCATCCTAACAGGTGTGAGGAGATCCATGTGAGTCAGCCACCCCCCGACCCCTAAGACTCCCAAATCCAGGTTTTATCACGGCGAGGGTCTTTGTGTAGGCGAATGAGGTGGAGGTGGAACCAAGAGTCAGCGAATTTACATCCTCACTTCAGCTCCTTTATAAGGACCAAGGCCAAGACACAAAATTCTTTGTATCTTAATTTTTCTAAGAATAAGATAGGACTTAATTACCAATTACCTCAAAGGAATGACATGAAAACTAACTACCGAAGCCCTCTAATGTCTTTAAAACCTGCCACATTCATGCATGGGGTTATTACTGTCACTGTGTGTGCGTGCAGACCAGGCTGCAGGAGGGGCACAGAGACAAAAGCATGGGGCTCCCCATCCCACCTCTCCCCGCGGACTGACCTGCTGGCTCCAGCCAAGGGTCAGCACGCTCTTCTGGAAAGAGCCGGATGGAAACACTTTTGGCTTTGGGGGCCATATGATGTCCCTCGCAGCCGTTCAACTCTGCTGTTGCAGGGCAAAGGTAGCTGTAAATGACTGAGCATGGCTATGTGCCAAGACAACCATTTTGGACACGGAAATGTGCGTTTCATGTAATTTTCACATCATGGAATAAGATTCTTTTGATTTTTTCCTAACCATTTAGAAACAAACACCATTCTTAGCTCACAGGACTCACTACATGCTGGTGGCGGAATGTGGCCTATGGATGATAAGTCTGGTAATCCCTGGTTGAAGCTTTTGATGAAGCAAGAGTATCATTATCATTTAAAGTTTCATTAATTTGTAGCAAAATAAAAATATCATTTGGAGATTCAATGGCATAGAATTATTTTATTTTCAACTTCTACTGGTGAGTTTTATAGCTTCTCTATAACCTAAAAATAAAAATTTGTTTAAATCAGAATTGTCACAATTTAAAACAAGCTTAACAGTGACTTATTCTAGGTTAATGAACTGTTTCTGGTGAGAAGAAAAGGATCAAAGCAGTGTGGGCTCAGCTGCAATGAGCATGTTCTGCCTCATTCTTCTCTCATCAAAGTCCTGAATATGAATATGGCAACAAGAAGGAGAAAAAAAAATCTACAAAATAACGTGAGCTTATCTGAGGCTGGGCAGGGTGGTGAGTATGTGTGTCCTGACCTGAGGCCATAATCAACAGGACTAAGGGAAGATCAAGGCCCACAACACTGCTCATTGTGTGTACTCATGCCGACAAAGTACTCATTTGTTGGAAACTGTCACGTGTTCTTCTCAACAGCTGCATTCACCTAGTCTTTCGCCCTCTAAGCCTTGTGGCTGGCTCTGCTCAACTCCCACTCACCCCACACCAGAGACCATGCGGGCCCTGAGCTCTCTCAACTCCATCCCCCACCTCCCAAGTGACGCTTCCCCTCCTGTGGGCGACACTGGCCCCTGACAGGTGTGGGCCACCAGGGGCACCCCATTCAGGTGCGTCCACACGCCACTCTCCCTCATGCCCCTGGCACCTGCCCCTCAGAGCACAAGTCCAGCCAAGTAGACTCAGCTGCCTGCCCCTCCCCACTTGCCATTCCCCTTCCCGGCCATCCCCCGTTCCCCGATGCAATGGAGAGATTCCTACTCTTTTCTTTCCGAGGAGCCAGCGAGGCTCTGCCAAGGCAATTGGCCAGAACCTAACAGCTTTCACCACCCATGATTCCCAGCTCTCAGCTCCCCACACACCAAGCTCTCGTCTCACAAGGATAACTGGGGAGGTCTTTGCTCCCCTTTCATCTTTCAGGCAGCAGAATCTAACTCCCAAGAACAGCGAGTTAGTGCCACCTCCCAACAGCCGCAGAGTCTGGATGTGCAACATGCCACTAAATGACAGAATGCCACTGAGTCTACACTTTGCTTATTTATCTATTTTTCCATACAAGACTTAGGCTCCAAGCATTCTCCCACTGAGAACAAGAAGCAGCTCACTGCTGTTATAATCGTGAGGAGCTCCTGCTCTGTCCCCTTTGTGTTTCCGGTCAAGGGTCCTTTTACCAACACCTGCTGAGTCTGTTACAGACCACCCCACCCGATGGTGATGGCAGGTGGATAAACACTTGCACCAACTGGCCAGGCTTTGCAATTCTGATAGGCTCAAAAAGGGTGTGTGTTCCTTCCATGATTCCAACAGAGCCCTGCTCCAGGCAGCCTTGCGGGGGGCGGTGTCAGAGGCCCTGTGCTCAAGCAGCTCTGCCACTGCCACCGCCCAGTTTTGCCAACTCTTTGATTTGAATTCCCTCAGAAGGACATATCCAGTTCATGAACAGAAAACATCTGGACCTTTTTCCTTGGTAATTCTCTCCTCCATGGTTTCATGGTTCAGTATCTGCTATCATCAAAAGCACTGCCTACGACCTCTTTCTTCAGGTGGACATTATTTGAGAATAAGGGCCAAAACCAAAGGGTGAAGTCCAAGACACAACTTTGTTTCAAACAGCCAAGAATGCATGACATAGACCACAGATGTCATCCCTAGTAAGGCAGGAAGGAACCCTGCAGACCAAGCAGCAGATGAACCCAGACTCTTTTCTGCCCACCATCTTGAGAAATTCCCACAGCCGGCATGAATCCTCGTCCTCCGGGTTCAGACACAAACCTCGCATTCGCCTTGGTTTATGACATTTTGGTCTCAGAAAATCCAAGTGGGCTCAAAGTCTGACCAGCTTCACACACACACAAATACGTATTCAATTCCACAAGGGTAAAGTGCCAGGAGGGGGCTGCAGGAGAGAGGAGATGGCCTAGGGCTCAGCCTGACTGGGGGTTTCAGGAGTATGTGCCCAGGCACACCACACCCTCTCCTCCCTCCTTTTCCGCACTCTGCCCCAACCTCTCCTCCCCTCGTTCTGATGTTGTAAACTCCAGAGCCCTAGCTTTGCTCTTCAACCCAGGAGCCAATCCAGCGCATCAGAAAATCATTCCATGGTCATCTACATGCATATGTACGAAACGGCTTTTAGCTTCACCAACTGTAGGTCTCACCATTGTTATCTACAAGCTCATAACATTTCCAGGTAACAGAGGTGAGAAATGAAAACGCCACCAGTTATCTGAAGAGGATGATTGTGGGGAGGAAGGACAGGCATGCCAGTATCTGTGTTTCAGCAGCACCAGCCTCAGAAGGGCCCCCGGGCATCCATGTCCCAAGTGCCCCCATGAGCTCTTGAGACTAGAATTGTAGGGAACCCCAGAGAGGTGCCAGAGGGGGTTCTGCAAAGATGGGGCTTCGTCTGGACACCTGTTTTGTACTGCACAACCAGACAGACTCTGCCTGTCTCAGCAAACGCTCATGCATACTTTTAAATTGCAGGTATTAATTTAATCAAGTTAATCAATGTTGGCAGGATGTTGGGTACTGGAAAATAAAGAGGAGCAAGAACACTGCCCCTTTTCTCAAAGGGTGTTAGTCTAGGACAGGAGGGAAACTGAAAACCCTAAGTGGGACACTCTGGCTTCTCGCCCACGAGTCCCTCTCAGAACACACTCCAGACCAACCTGGCCAGGACTCTCTGGGATAGTGACTTGGCACGTGGATTCAGAACAAGACCCACGGTGTGAAAGGCGCTGCTGAACAAAGATAAATGAAAGGGACATCGCAGGCTCAGAGGAGGAGAGGTCGGAGAAGGTGGAGGAGACTCAGGGCCCCTGGATATGGAAGTGGGCATTTTTCAGCCTTTGCTTCATTGACTTCATGCAATGGAAGGGGAAGGCATCTCTCTCAGTGACTGAACAAGAGGAAATGCAGCACAAATCACCAGCACGCAGCCACGTCGCAGAGCCTGCCAGAGAAGGGAAACAGAGGGAATAGAAACCTTGCTGTAGGAGAATTTTTTTCCCCCAAATGAGAGACACCTGAGTTTTTCAGCAAGCGACCATAGCCAGTGAAAATAATGAAGTTAGAGAGAGGAGGTAGAGAAGACAGAGAGCTGGAGGGACGGTTCATGCAACAAACTCCCCAGGCAGGTGTGGAGGCGGGGTCCCAGGGCTAAAAGGGCGCTGCAAATCTGTAGGAAATGGTCAAGTTGACTCATTTTAAGTGATCTTCCAAATTATTCCTGGGATTTTTACAACTTAAATTATTAAAGTTCAAAAGTTTAAAACGCACACGCAGCACATGGAGTTGATGAAGATTTACAGACTATTAAACCCACGAAGTTAAAAGACGGATGCTTTAACTCACATAATAGAGATCCCAGCAAAATACACTTTTTAGTCAGGAGTTCCAGACCAGCCTGGCCAACAGGGTGAAACCCCATCTCTACTAAAAATACAAAAATTAGCTGGGTGTGGTGGCGGGTGCCTGTAATCTCAGCTACTTGGGAGGCTGACGCAGGAGAATTGCTTGAACCCAGGAGGCAGAGGTTGCAGTGAGCCGAGACTGCACCATTGCACTCCAGCCTGGGCAACAGAGCAAGACTCCGTCTCAAAAACAACAACAACAACAAACCCCAAAAAAACACATTTTAAAAAAAGTATGTTTTGGCTGGGCACAGTAGCTCACAATTTTAATCCCAGCACTGTGGGAGGCTGATGCAGGCGCATCACTGAAGGTCAGGAGTTCTAGACCAGTCTGGCCAACATGGTGAAACCCCGTTTCTACTGAAAATACAAAAACAAAAATTAGCCGGGTGTGGTGGTGCCTGCCTGTAATCCCAGCTACTCAGGAGGCTGGGGCTGCATGAGCTGAGTTCACGCCACTGCACTCTAGCCTGGGAGACAGGGGAGACTCCGTCTCGAAAAACCAAACCAAACACTATGTTTAATAAGTGCTTTCTTCAATCATGAGACTATCAAGGCAGTACTGAGAACAAGTTTCACAAAACTGGAATTGAGGCAGCGCCTGTTAGTACCTCATCTGGCTGCTCACCCCAGAGCCCTTAAAGAGACAAACTACTGCATCACGAAAAGATCCTAAAATGCCTTCCTGATCTTTTCCGTGAAACTTCAACTATAACGGGGAAGAGAAGGCTGGACTGCACAGCTGTCTTCCGGGCAGTGACAACTAATCGGTCATGTCTGTACCTGTAGATTTACAAGCTGCGAGGTGGATTTTCCTTGGAGGCACAAGGCCTGCGCAATAAACGCATGCAAATCCTCCAGGCAAAGAGTGTCCACCTGAAAAGGACAGAGAAAGGCCAGTGTTAGGCTACAGGAAAAATTAAACATTTCTTACAAATTGATCTCAATTACTAACTATGAGTGTGTGTATAGGTGCAAACACGCACACACATGCACGTACAGGCACACGCACAGGCACATATATGTGCACGCAAGCACACAGAGGTGCACCGGCATGCACATACACACGGGCACGCATGTGCACGCACAGGTGCACAAACAGGCGCATGCGCAGGCACGCACATGGTGCATCAGACCTCAGGCAGCGAACAGTGTGTAGTGGAAAGAGCACAGCCTCTTCACACCATCCTTGGCTCCTGGCTGTGAAGCTCTCTCTATGGTGTCCCCAGTTGTGCCCACAACTCACAGCCCAGCTGGAAGGGGAGCCTGAATTTCTAGTCCGGTTAGACTCTAATGAGGTAGAACTCTCCAGAACATCTGGGAATAATCATGAGGTGCCAACCAAGACCAGGTCTTAGGGCCAGACAGGTGATCACGTTCGGCACAAACTGCACAGAGCAAACAGTTTAGGGTTTTTCAGAGCGCGAGTACCCACAGCTGGGCTGAGCTGGGGTCATCATACACTTTCAGCAACCCACAGAAAACCTGTGTCCTCGAATCCTAGTTGAGAGTAAATCAGAACCCACAATATGAGACCCTACTAATACTCTGTGGAATCAAAAGACACAACAAAAGTGAGAAGAGGGAAGAGGGACAGAGTAACAGGAGACAGCAAAGGGCAGGCTGAGCATCCTGGGTGTGGAGTAGATGCCGGAGATGAGGAGAGGGCGTGAAGAGCGAGGAAGATCTGAACGGTCCAGGCTCCAACAACAGCAGACAGTGCTTTTGCCACATCCCATCCCCTGCCCCACTTGGCGAGCGAGGGGGTCGAGACAGTCCCCTCCCAGCCACCAAGTTCTGCCACCCAGAAAAAGGCAGAACACGCCCGCTGACTGAACGACTCCACACCGTCCTAAGACCACAAGAGCTGCTTCTCACGGAAGAGCACCTCCTGTGGCAAGTAAAGGCTTACGGAAAAAGAAACAGGAAAGCCAACAGCAAACCCATCAATAACAACTTCACTGACTCTTCTTGGATATTAAAAACGGCTAACTTGCCTATTTGCAATAAGAACGACCCCACCGTAAATCAGAAAGACTCCTGTGCTCCCCGGGAGGATGGTGGCATTTGCTTCCCCCGGGGTGGGGGTGCTGACTGCCGCGTGGACCTGCTGATGCTTTTACTCACCGTGTCACTATCCTAGTCCACTTTTATTCCAAGTAGCTGTTACCTTGGAATAAAAGGAATAGAAAATATGTGCATTTCTATGATGTAAACTTACCTTTCCAGAGGATATTCTCAGATGAGTCTTTAATAAAATCATTTGTGGCTGTTGTTAACTGGGAGGTTAGACCAAATGAGAGTACAGCTGACTCCTGACAATACAGGTTTGAATTGTATGGGTTCACTTATATGTGGATTTTTTTCCAACCAAATGCAGATGGAAAAATACAGTGTTCACGGGATGTAAAACCCGAATATAAAGGGCCAACTTTTCAAATACGTGGGCTCCGCAGGCTGACTGCAGGACTTGAGCATGCATGGATTGTGGCATCCTTGGGGGTCTTGGGACCAATCCCCCACATATACCAAGACACAACTGTATTTAGTTTCTCTGTCATTTTCAGGCACTGAACAGCATGCGATTTTATCCCATATTACACATCAAAACATCCAATTTAGGCTTCATATATAAAACTGTAATATTTTTATAAATGTATCTTTTTAGCCTTATTCATTCTGAGTTATTATCCCTGTGAATAATACAGCACCTTCTTCATCTAGTGAATGCCAAATTGATTTGTCAATCTGTTGTTTTCCAGTTTTAGAAAGTTCTGATTTAAACATCTCCTTTAAAGACAAGTTACCAAGTCTGCTCATGCCAACTTGCACTAAAGAGATTTTATTTAAGAGTCTTTGTTAATAGAAAAAAGGTAAAGTGGAAATTTTCCTCCCGATGCTTGTCTTGCTTCAGGTTTATACAAATAGGGATGTGATGTTCCTGTTCTGGGGTCCTGGGCTTTTTCTGCTTGAAGAGAATTTAAAGAACTGACAGCCACCTGCGCAGTAATGAGAAGGCAGAACTGCGCTGCATGGCCACACACAGGATCAGCATTGTCAATACGGAACAGCAGGCAGCATGTCCCTCCTGGAGTGCCCACCATGGCCTCCCCATTGTTGTGTACACACATGGTTATCAACAACAAAACACATGTATTTTTATGGGTGAGAAAAGTCAGCTTACTGGCTACCACCACTTCTCAAGTCCCACTGCGATGCAATGTTAACCACAGACACCTGCAGATTATCAGACAACAGGAATACTAACCAACAGTGTATGCATGTTATATATAATATCAAAAGAAATATCTTTTTACTTTTTTTTCCTCCAATGTTTAAGTTTGGGGGTACGTGTGCAGGATGTGTAGGCTTGTTACACAGGTAAACATGTGCCATGAGGGGTGGCTGCACAGATCATCTCATCACCTAGGTATTAAGCCCGGCATCCATTAGCGATTCTTCCTGATGCTCTCCTTCCCCCTCCCCCACCCCCCACAGTCCCGTGTGTGTCCTTCCCTGCCATGTGACCCTGTGTTCTCATCATTCAGCTCCGCCTTATAAGTGAGAACATGCAGTATTTGGTTTTCTGTTCCCGTGTTCGTTTGCTGAGGATAATGGCCTCCAACTCCATCCATGTCCCTGCAAAGGACATGATCCAGTTCCTTTTTATGGCTGCATAGTATTCCATGATGTATATATACCACATTTTCTTTACTCAGTCTATCACTGATAAGCATTTAGGTTGATTCCATGTCTTTGCTATTGTGAATAGTGCTGCAGTGAACATATGCATGCAGGTATCTTTATAACAGAATGATTTCTATTCCTTTGGGTAGATTCAATGATGGGATTGCTGGGTCAAATAGTATTTCTGCCTCTAGGTCTTTGAGGAATCACCACACTGTCTTTCACAATTGTTGAACTAATTTACACTCCCGCCAACAGTGTAAAAGTGTTCCTGTTTCTCTGCAACCTCGCCAGCATTTGTTTTTGACTTTTTAATAACAGCTATTCTGATTGGCATGACAGTATCTCATTGTGGTTTTGATTTGCATTTCTCTAATGATCAATGATGTTGAACTTTTCTTCATATGTTTGTTGGCTGCATATATAGCCCCCTTTTTTTTTTGAGATAGAGTCTCGCTCTATTGCCCAGGCTGGAGTGCAGTGTCATGATCTCCACTCACTGCAAGCTCCACCTCCCAGGTTCCTGCCACTGCTTCTGCCTCAGCCTCCAGAGTAGTTGGGATTACAGGCGCCTGCCACCACGCCCGGCTAATTTTTTTTTTTTCTTTTTTTGAGATGGGGTTTCACTGTGTTAGCCAGGATGGTCTCAATCTCCTGACCTCGTGATCTGCCTGCCTCAGCCTCCCAAAGTGCTGGGATTACAGGTGTGAGCCACTGTGCCCAGCCACATGTCCTCTTTTGAGAAGTGTCTGTTCATGTCTTTTGCCTACTTTTTAATGGGATTGTTTGCTTTTTTTTTCCTGTAAATTTGTTTTAAGTTCCTTGTAGACTGGATATTAGATCTCTGTCAGATGAATAGATAGTAAAAATTTTCTCCTATTCTGTAGGTTGTTTACTCTGATGATAGTTTATTTTGCTGTGCAGAGGCTCTTTAATTAGACCCCATTTGTCAGTTTTTGCTTTTGCTGCAATTGCTTTTGGTGTTTTCATGATGAAGCTTTTACCTATGCCTGTGTTCTGAATGGCATTGCCTAGATTTTCTTCTAGGGTTTTTATACTTTTGGGTTTACATTTAAGTCTTTAATCCATCTTGAGTTAATTTTTGTAGATAGTGTAATGAAGGGATCCAGTTTCAATTTTCTGTATGTGGCTCAGTCAGTTATCCCAGCACTGTTAATTAAACAGTGAGTCCTTTCCCTATAGATTATTTTTGTCAAGTTGGTAAAAGATCAGATGGTTGTAGATGTGTCATCTTATTTCTGAGTTCTCTATTCTGTTCCATTGGTCTATGTTTCTGTTCTTGTATGAGTACCATGCTGTTTTGGTTATGGCAGTCTTGTAGTCTAGTTTGAAGTCGGGTAGCGTGATGCCTCCAGCTTTGCCCTTTTTGGTTAGGATTGTCTTGGCTATTCAGGCTCTTTTGGGTTCTGTATGCATTTTAAAATAGTTTTTTTCTAATTCTGTGAGGAATGTCAATGGTAGTTTAATGGGAACAGCATTGAATCTATAAATCACTTTGGGTCATATGGCCATTTTCACAATATTGATTCTTCCTATCCATGAGCATGGAATGGTTCTCCATTTGTTTGTGTCCTCTCTGATTTCTTTGAGCAGTAGTTTTTAGTTCTCCTTGAAGAGGTCCTTCACTTCCCTTGTTAGCTGTATTACCAGGTATTTTATTCTTTTTGTAGCAATTGCGAATGGGAGTTTATTTGTGATTCTCTCTCCTGTTGTTGGTGTATAGGAATACTAGCAATTTTATATCCTGAGACTTTGCTGAAGTTGGTTCCCAGGGATAAAGTCAACTACATCATGGTGGATAAGCTTTTTGATCTGCTGCTGGATTTGGTTTGCCAGTATTTTAGTGAGGATTTTTGCATCAATGTTCATCAAGGATAAGGTTTTGGTATCAAGATGACGCTGGCCTCATAGAACAAGTTAGAAAGGTGTCCTTCCTTTTCAATATTTTGGAATAGTTTCAGCAGAAACAGTGCCAGCTCTTCTTTGTACCTCTGGTAGAATTCAGCTGTGAATCCGTCTGGTTCTGGATTTTGTTTGTTTGATCGGTAAACTATTTATTATAGCCTTAATTTCAGAACTCATTATTGGTCTATTCAGGGATTCAATTTCTTCCTGGTTCAGTCCTGGGAAGGTATATGTGTATAAGAATTTATCAATTTCATCTAGATTTTCTAGTTTATGTGCATAGAGGTGCTCATCGTATTCTCTGATGGTTACTTATATTTCTGTGAGGTGAGTGGTGATAACCCGCTTATCATTTCTGATTGTTTTTATTTGATTCTTCTCTCTTCTTTACTAGGGTAGCTAGTGGTCTATTAATTTTTTTCAAAAAAACAGCTCCTGGATTTGATGATTTTTTTAAAAGGGTTTTTTGTGTCTCTATCTCCTTCAGTTCAGCTCTGATCTTGGTTATTTCTTGTGTTCTGCTAGCTTTGGAGTTTTCTTTTGCTCTTGGTTCTCTAGTTCTTTTACCAGAGATGTCAGGTGGTTAACCTGAGATCTTTCTAGCATTTAGTGCTATAAATTTCCCTCTTAACATTGCTTTAGCTGCATCCCAGAGATTCTGGTACGTTGTCTCTTTGTTCTCATTAATTTCGTTATTTAACCAAGAGTCACTCAGGAGCAGGTTGTTCAATTTCCATGTAGCTGTGTGGTTTTGAGTGAATTTCTTAATCTTGAGTTCGAATTTGACTGCTCTGTGGTCTAAGAGACTGTTATGATTTCAACTCTTCTGCATTTGCTGAGAAGTGTTTTACTTCCTATTATGTGATCCATTTTACAGTAAGTGCCGAGCAGCAATGAGAAGAACGTATATTATGCTGAATTTGGGTGGAGAGTTCTGTAGATATCTATCAGGTCCAAGTGATCCAGAGCTGAGTTCAGGTCCCGAATGTCTTCATTAATTTTCTGTCTTGATGATCTGTCTAATATTTGTCAGTGAGGTGTTAAAGTCTCCCACTATTATTGTGTGGGAGTCTCTGTGGGTCTCTAAGAGCTTGCTTTGTGAATCTGGGTGCTCCTGTACTGGGTGCATATATACATATGATAGTTAGCTCTACTTGTTAAATTGAAACCTCTAGCATTATGTAATACTCTTGTCTTTTTTTATCTTTGTTGGTTTAAAGTCTGTTTTGTCAGAAACTAGGATTGCAGTCTCTACTTTTTTCTGTTTTCCATTTGCTTGGTAAATTTTCTTCCAACCCTTTATTTTGAGCCCATGTGTGTCTTTGCACATGAGATGGGTTTCCTGAAGACAGCATATGGATGAGTCTTGGCTTTTTATCCAGCTTGCCATTCTGTGCCTTTTAACTGGGGCATTTAGCCCATTTACGTTTAGGGTTAGTATTGTTATGTGTGAATTTGATCCTGTTATCATAATGCTAGTTGGTTATTTTGCAGACTTGTTTATGTGGTTGCTTCACAGTATCACGGGTCCGCATACTTCAGTGTGTTTTTGTAGTGGCTGGTAATGGTTTTGCCTTTCCATATTTAATGCTTCCTTCAAGAGTTCTTGCAAGGCAAGCCTGTTGGTGACAAATTCCCTAAGCATTTGCTTGTCTGAAAAGGATCTTACTTCTCCTTCACTTATAAAGTTAGTTTGGTTGAATATAAAATTCCGGGTTTGAAATTCTTAATAATGTTGAGTATTGGCCCTCAATCTCTTTTGGCTTGTAGAGTTTCTGCTGAGAGGTCCGCTGTTAGTCAGATGGGTTTCCCTTTGTAGGTGACCTGGCCTTTCTCTCTGGCTGCCCTTAACATTTTTTCTTTCATTTCAACCTGGAGAAACTGATGATTATGTGTCTTGTGGTTGATCTTCTCATACAGTATCTTACTGGGGTTCTTTGTATTTTCTGAATTTGAAAGTTGGCCTATCTCGCTAGGTTGAGGAAGTTCTCCTGAATGATATCCTAAAGTATGTTTTCCAACTTGGTTCCATTCTCCCATCTTTTTCAGGTACCCAGTCAGTTGTAAGTTTGGTCTCTTCATAATCTCATATTTTTTGGAGGTTTTGTTTATTCCTTTTCATTCTTTTGTCTCTGTTCTTGTCTGCCTATCTTAATTCAGGAAGACAGTCTTCAAGCTCTGAGATTCTTTCCTCCACTTGGTCTACTCTGCTACTGATACTTGTGGCTGCACTGTGAAGTTCTTGTGTTGTGTTTTTCAGCTCCATCAAGTTGGTTATGTTCCTCTCTAAACTGGCTATTATGGCTATCAGCTCCTGTAGTTTTATCACATTTCTTAGCTTCTTTGCATTGGATTACAACATGCTCCTTTAGCTTGGCGAAGTTCATTATTAGCCACCTTCTGAAGTCTACTTCTGTCAATTCAGGCGTTTTAGCCTCAGCACAGTTCTGTGTCCTTGCTGGAGAGGTGTTTGCAGTCACGTGGAGGAGAAAAGGCACGCTGGCTTTTTCAGTTTTCAGGATCTTTGCATTGATTCTTTCTCATCTTTATAGGCTTATCTACCTTTGTCTTTGAGGTCTCTAACCCTATCCCTAACCTTTGAATGAGGTTTTTGTGGGGTCTTTTTTGTTGATGTTGTTGTTTTCTGTTTTTCTTTTAACAGGCCATTCTACCGTAGGGCTGTTGCGGTTTGCTGGAGGTCCACTCCAGATGCCAGTTGCCTCATTTCTCCCATACCTGGAGGTATAGCCAGTGAACACTGTGAAACAGCAAAGATGACAGCCAGCTCCTTCCTCTGGAAGCGCCGTCCTAGCAGTTACTGACCTGTTGCTGGCCCGCACCCACCGGCAGGAGGTGGCTGGAGACCCCTATTGGGAGGACTCACCCAGTCAGGAGAACAGGATCAGGGATCTGGCTGCTTTTTGGTAGAGCTGATGTGCTGCACTAGAGGTGGGGGTCCCTTCCTCATCTGGACTGCCTGTATTCTCCAAAGCTGGCAGGCTGGAGCAGGTGAGTTGACTGAACTGAGGCCTCCCCTCTTCCTGGGAACTTGGACCCATCTAAGGCAGACTCCAATTCACTGCCATTGGCTGGCTAGGATTCCAAGCCAGTGGGTCTTAAATTGTGAGGTGACATGGAAGCGGAGCCTGCAGAATGATGCCGTTTGGCTCCCTGGATTCAGCCCCTTTCCTAGGGATATGTACGGACAGATTTCTTGTCTTGCCAGGGATCCCAGAGCCGGAGTATGTAAAACTCTTGGGTCTCTGTGTATGCCTGAGCGGCTGCTCTGCTGAGACTCCAAACAGCTCTGTGTATTGGACCCTAGGCCCTGGTGGCGTGGGCTCATGAAGGGATCTGATACACGGGTTGCAAAGATCCATGGGAGAAGCATGGTTTCCCAGGCAGGGTCGCACAATCATTCATGGCTTCCCCTGGCTGGGGGTGGGGGTTCCTTTGGCTCCATACTGTTCCCAGGTGGGGCCCTGCTCTCCACCCCTGGTTTACTTTGTTCTCTGTGGGTTGTGTTGTTTGCCTAGTCAGTCCCAATGTGAAAATCTGAGCATTTCAGTTGAAAGTGTTGAATTCACTTGCCCCTTTTTGTTCCTCTCTGTGAGAGCTATGGACCGTGGCTTTTCTCATCGGCCATCTTGGATTCATCTCCTCTCTTTTTACATTTACATTTTAAATAGTCCTGCCATCCTATATTAATTTATAATCTTCTATGTCTTGAGCAAATAAAGAAGTAATCTGCTCAAAATGATAATGCAAAAACTAAGGTTTACATGGCATGTGCATGTGAAACCAATAATGCAGCAATAAAACCTCTAAGCACTACTCAGCCATATTATGTCTTACAAAATGCAAAATGTAGAGCAAGCTATAGAATGGGCAGAGCCAAGAGGACATTTAGAAAGAAAAAATCAGTCCAAGACTCCCTTGAGACGTAATTCCACAATAAGAGTACATTTCTTAAAGACAATCAATAATTTGTAAAGTAAATTCAGGTTTGAAAAAAGAATTATATAATTTTCTAATCCGGGAACACCGAATGGCTATGCCAATGGAGACCCACCATATAGGGAGGTCAGAGAAGCCGGGACGATGGCTTGAAGGAGTGAAGAAAGCTTATGAGATGTCTCGACAGCCTGAAGAAGTAGATACTTTGTCCACAGTGGGACAAAAATCATCTTAAATCACAGAGCTAGGGAGGGAGGTGGTGGGGAGCGATGCAGAGAAAGAGGGGCTGGGAGATGGGAGCGTTCTCAGCCTTTCTCTTACTAAAGGTGTCCAAGCAATATTGTGCATGTAGAAAACTATTAAAAAGGTGAATCTTTTAACTGACCTTTATGATTTTCACATATAAACTAGGTATAAAGCTAATGCAAAAGAAACAGTCCACCTTGTTGAGTGAGCCTAAAACAAAGGTTCTAGCACTACAATGCCTAGCACAGCTGGATGGGAGGACATAAATGATGAAGGTCATGACACCACCAGCTGATATCGTCCCAACAGCCCTAGGAAGCAGCTACTATGATTATCTCCTTTTCAGATTAGAAAATGAAGGCACATAATCAGTAAACATTTGCTGGATGATGGAATGAAACTGACAGAGGAAAAAGCTGAAGTGATCTGCCCAGAGGCAAAGAGCTACGAGAAGCTAGGTCTCTAGCTGGTCCCTTCTCACCTTTACACTAAAACCCAGAAACAAGAACCACGACCCAAACAATGCCACGAGGACAGAGGAGGTACACTATGGTCCACAAAGTTGGAAAAAGTTTAGTCAAGGCCAAAGCAGCTTCCATCACCTGCAAGATTTCCTAAGTCTCTAATACAATCTCTAAGTCTCCATTGTATTAGTGACAAGAGTTTCTCGTACGTATTTTGCCATACAATCTTCTTTTTAGTTTTAGAGCACCTCAAAGGACTAATAATGTTCCATGGAACAGACACTGGAAAAAGACGATCCAGGACACCAGCCATGGCGATATTCCACACACTCCCCCTCATAAAGTAAGCGCAGGCTACAGCGACTAGAACAGGCAGCTGGACATTACCTGCACAAAGAGGTAGATCAAGAGGCAGCACAAAGCTTGAAATGGGCTTTCGACAGCCTGCAGTTCTTCTCTTGAGGAGGAAAGGTTGAAACAGGCGAGGAGTGTGTCCAAGCGCCGAACCTGCATTTCTGGCTCTTGATTCAGCCATAATATTTTCAAACTAGGCGTTCCCCCTAGTTAGGAAAAAAAGTCCATTAACTATTGTTCTTTGCAGCACAGAGTTATAATATGCTCCTTGTAGAAATACAGTGAAAGGAAACAAATCTCGTCCCTTCCTGATGTAAAACGAACTAGGAAGTAAACATGATCAGATTCCTGTTTTTTTAAACGCCCAAACCTAAAGGGCTGGCATACGTACGTTTCAACGAAAACATTCCTTCTTTTTTTAATGACTAAATTGTGAGGGATACTGCACTTCCAACCATTAAGAATGCTTTCAGAGCATCTTTCAAATGCACTGTCTCAAGGATACAACAAGGCACTGCCGCCCTGCAGTATCACAGCTCTGATGGGGCACTTGGATGAAACGCCATCCATCTACCCCTTTAGTTTGCTCTCTTACTCTCCTAAATTAATGGTTTTCAACCCTTCATGTGGAAAAGAATCAACTGTAGAGATTATTTTAAAAAATGCATTTTCCTGGGATCTATATGCAGAAACTCTGATTTGATTTGACAGGTATGGGTGCCTGGAAGTCTGCATTTTCACAACCCAGAAGACTTGCAGGCAATCTGTGAACCCCAGGCTTTGGAAAGCACTTTCCTAAAACTATTAAACAAACAGAAATTCCTAAAATGTAATTTTTAGTGTTTCACTTCTATATTTTATATATACGTTTAAATTGTTAAAATCAAAAGAAAAAAGCCCTTACTCATTTACTTAAGCCATGACAAATGATGACGACTTACGCAGAGTTGCAGACGCAGGTGCAGCTCTGCTTCCACACTGACAAACAGAAAGGTGCCATTCATAAGGTCAGACTTGTTCATCTGTGACTGGCGAGATGGCCTCCCTTGCTATCCACAGCTGTGATTTTCTGTGAGGGCCACTTGACAATAAAATATATGCCAAAAGCTCAAAGCTGGCTGGGATCTAAATGTCCCTTTTGTTTACTAAGGAAACAGAACCTACTAACCAAATGGCTTCAGAGTCAAATGACCTAAAAAAGGAAATTCTTCTCTTTCTTTTCTTACGTTTCCCACGATGGCAGTGATTACCCTCAGGGGTATATTTCCCGCCATCAGAAGTGAAACAACTCAACAAAACTCACTTGAATTCCAAAATGGCTGAAGTATTCCCTCCACCTGATAAGCTTTTTTTCTCTAAAGAGAAAGAAAACGCTAAAGATAATTAGCCAACACAAAACAACCTTATGGCAGTAGTACTTCAGAGATGAGTCCGAGACAATCACAAGTGTCAGTAACTGCTTCTTAGAAACATACTTTCAAGAGAATAATCAACTCAGGCAACCTGTGCAGCCTCGGGACTGTGGAATACAGTGTAGCAATTCCTCAAGAGTCTAGACACAGAAATACCATTTGACCCAGCAATCCCATTACTAGGTATATACCCAAAGGTATAAATCTTTCTACCATAAAGGCACATGCACATATATGTTTACTGCGGCACTATTCACAATAACAAAGACTTGGAACCAAAACAAATGCCCATCAATGATAGACTGGGTAAACAAAATGTGGCACATATACACCACAGAATACTATGCAGCCATAAAAAAGAATGAGTTCATGTCCTTTGCAGGGACATGGATGAAGCTGGAAACCCTAATTCTCAGCTAACTCACACAAGAACAGAAAACCAAACACCGCACGTTCTCACTCGTAAGTGGAAGTTGAACAATGAGAGCACATGGACACAGGGAGGGGAATAACACACACCGGGTCCTGCTGGGGGGTCGGGGGCAAGGGGAGGGAGAGCATTAGGACAAATACCTAATGCATATGGGGCTTAAAACCTAGATGATGGGCTGACAGGTGCAGCAAGCCACTATGGCACATGTATACCTCTGTAACAATCCTATAAGTTCTGCACATGTATTCCAGAACTCAAATTTAAAAAAAAAACAAAAATACTCAAAAAACCCTGACTACGCACATGCAAAGTGAATCTTTAGATGAGCAACTTCCAAAGCCTATTTATAATAAACAAAAAAATTCATTCATATATAAACAGAATACATTTACATCTCAATCCATCAAACTCTATACTTATACGGATAAGTATTCTAATTTCACGCTTGCAAAAATGACATCATTACACCACTCCCATCTGATGCATTCAACAGTGAAAGTGGCTATAAAAAGTAGTAAATGCAAAATTTAACCCTTGTGACTGTAATGTGAATTTGTTAACACATTTGACAAAGCTTCACACTATTTTTTACAAGTTGGTGAAAAACCACTTTTGAGATTTTAACCGATTTATGTTGATCTGCGATGGTCGGGGTGGTTTCAGACACTGGCAGCCACATAAGCAGAGCCCCCACCAAGGCCAGGCACAGGTACACCCACACACCAGCTTCCTTAAGTGCATGTGCACACACACACACACACTCCCAGCTTTCTTAAGTGCATGTGCGCGCACATACACACACCCCAGCTTCCTTAAGTGCATGTGCACACACACACACACCCCCCAGCTTCCTTTTACCACTCACAGAAGCCTCCAAGACTTGTTGAGACTTTCTTGACTGACCTGTATGCAACAAGGGTCAGATGAAAACCTTCAACAATGTATGTAAGAGGAGGTGAACAAGAAAGCCACTGCAACTGTTTGATAGCAAATGACAGACTGAATCAAATGCGTGGTCTTTTTTTCATGAAATGCATGACTTACCCTCATTTCATTTTGTAAAATAGTCTTCTAAGATATTCTGCAATTCTGGTAAATCAAATGTGTATAACCAAGAAATACTAAGCTTTCTGATTGTTGAACACCACTTTAAAAAGGTCCTTCAAGATAGACAAATTACCAATTAGATGTGTGCATTAGTTTTCCTAGGTTTCTAAAATAAGGATATGCTTAAAGTAACTTAAACAATGACACTTACAAGAGAAAAAAAGCTACCAGCACTTTGAAAATGAAGAATTGACAAATCTACAATTCTGGAGACTGAAAAGGCAATTTCAAACGCTTGCCTTTGGTATGGGCCAAGACTCCCACCCAAAGAATGGAGAATGTCAGGAAAGTGAGTAAGAGGAGTGAGAGCAGTGTGCTGGGAAAGGGTAGACACACATGCACAGATCAAGGACCTTCACGAGCTGGGTTTGGGAAATGGAAGCTAAACTGCGTTATCAGAAACATCATCTTCCATGATATATTGTAAAGGAAATGAAATGTAGTATCCTGTAGACATGCTCCCACACGCACAC